TTCTTAGTGCCATATACACCAATATCTTAAGGGAACCGAGATAAAGGCTCTGCAACATCAAAAATATCGAATACCGTCCTGTAGCCGCCACCCGCCGCGATGCCCCAGACAGGTACCGGCTACTAGCTGAACCCGACGACAGAACTGGAGTGCGGGGGTGGGGGTCCGAGTGTCAGGTCAGTATGCAACCTTCAACCGACGGTAAAGGGTCACGCGTATAGAGGTATAATAAATATATAATAATGGCACACTCATATACCAATAATGAACTCGTTGATATGTTGTTAATTTATTAATGAACGTCTTCAAAATGATACAGAATCGTCGCGAGTGTATGCAGATCTTTTCCCTAGACGACATCATCCAAGGCCCCCAGATTTGTGTACCCGGTCCAGAGAGTCAGGGATACGGGCCATTTGGAGGAATATCGAGGTGGGCACAGTGGGAGGTCTAGACAACCACGAATGGTGCTTGAGGAAGAACTACTGAATCGCGTAGACGAGAATCCCTCAACAAGCACTAGAGACGTGGCTAGAGAAGTGCGAGTATCACAAACTAGAGTGTGGCAAACGTCCAACCTGACGATTTTCCAGCAAGAGTGCGGTTTTGTGAGTGGTTGTTGCATCAACATGACAATAATCCGGACTTTTTGAAGTGCATATTGGTGACAGACGAATCTACGTTCACACGTAATGGGGTCAACTGGAGAGTGAGTACTTTTTCCTTTATATTTTTTTTACATGGTCGGCCCGTTTCACTACGCATTACCTTTGTTATTTCAAGGTAGTTGTTTCTGAAAAGGAAAAGCCCAACTTTGCGGACACCCTGTATTAACCTTCGGAAATCGTGGATACCCTTATGTTGACTGATTTCGCTGTTGAACAATAAAACAATGACACTCCGTTAATACTATTAACTGTTAGAACAAGTTACCATACACCGATCCGCGGGGAAAGGAATAAACGATAAGTAATCAATTTTGGGCAGTTAACATCAATTAAACTCAGAATACCAAAATAAAAAGGATTTTCCGTTGGCAATATATTCGGTCTGCTGTTACTTATGGGCTATAAATGTATAAAAAAAATTGTGTTACTTAATTTTGTTATTTTACAAAAGGTCTTCGTCTTCTTCTTCTTCTTCTTGCTACGGTCTTCACACCACACACACACACCCTCCTACCCTGTGCGGTTCCCCTCCACCACCCCTGTTCCAGGCAACCTCAAACCCTTGAGGAGTGGGGGGAAGAGCAATCAGCTCCTCCCCCCACTCCCGCCCAAAGGCCTGGAGTGGCGCTGCGTGGTTCAGGCCGCTTGCGCATTCCCCGAGTGTGTGCTGCCGAACGAGCTATCCCCCTTCCCCAATTTTGCCCCTTTTTCCCGAAATTTGACTCGATCGCGCACGCGTCGCGGAAGCGCGTGGTGGACGTTTCTTCAACTGTCGGTTCTCGACTTTATGGCCGGCCTCTTTTCTTGGGGGTCCTGCGCTGGGGGCTTTCGACCTAAGCCCCTCCTAAAGGTTGGTGAGCCTTCGCTCTTTCCTCGTCGACTGGAGTCAGTCAGTCGTCGTCAGTCAGTCATATTGTAAGTCATTCGTCTCCTGAGGTTAGCCCCGAGTCCGTGCTTGACTCTGGCCACCTCAATCGACAGGCTTCTTTTTGTCCACCCGTTGTACACGGGCTGTTCTTTCCCCTCTTGGGTGTACAACTATTGTCGGTCTTCTCCCCTTTTCTTTGGCCTGATCAGCTGCTAGGGCCAAATATCTTCTTGTTGCAGCTGGCTTTTCGGTCTTTTATGACGCCTTATTGTTCTTGGGTCGTAATCCAAGGCGGCTTCAATCAGCACATTTCTTTTCAAAGAACTTTCTGGCCCTCTCTCTCATCTGGATTACGACCGGTACCTGTCGTAGTTCGTCATATAGCACTCTGTTAGGTACATACCACGGTGCGTCCACCGCTTCACAAGTGAGTGCATGTTTTGTTGAGCTTGGAGCCTCTTCTTCATCGTTTTGGAAACGTAGCCCCAAGCTACTGCTGCGTAAGTCATGATTTGTAGCAGCACCATCTGAATCATGATGGTTTATTCTTTAGTGACACTTTGCTTCTTCTGCCCGTTAAGGGTCTTAGTTTGGAGCGTGCCATCTTCACTTTCTGCACCCGGTCTTCGACATGGTTCTTCCAAGTGAGTTTCTGGTCCATCTTGACTCCAAGGTATGTGCTGGAGTCTTTCCAGTCGACCTCAACCTCTTCATCTCTTCTCCAGCCTCTCTCCATTCTGGTGGTCGTCATCTTTATTTTGGTCTGAGGTAATCTTCGATTTCTTCGGAACAGTACCGCTTCGGTCTTCTCGGGTTGAGGCGGATCTTCCACTTGATGCACCATTCCTCTAGGTTGGTGGTCGCTCGTTGCAGATATTCCGTAACCATGCGGGGTCTCGTACTTTCTGCCGCATATGCTGTATCGTCCGCATACACATACAGTTGCGTTTGAGGAGTCTTCGGGATGTCTGAGCTGTAGATTGGATACAGCAGGGGTGGTAGAACCGCTCCCTGCGGTACTCCTGCCTCCACAGTCCTCGTCGTCGAGGTTGTTTTACCGATCCTAATTCGGAAATTTCGGTTCGGTGCTTCAAGTAGGACTTCACCAGTTGGATCATCCCCTTTGAGTATCCGTGGTCTACCATCTTGTAGATCAGTCCGTCATGCCAAACAGTGTCGAACGCCTTTGCGGCATCCATGAACACAGCTCCCACGGCCCGCCGAGTCTGGAACGATTTCGTTGCCATCTCGACCAGCCTTAGGACCTGGTGCTCTGCTGAATGCCCGCATCGGAATCCGAACTGTTCGTCTGGAACTACTCGGAGTTCTTCGGTTTCGTTCTTCAGTCTTCGTTCGATTACCCTTTCCGCAATCTTGCTCAGTGCCGTCAACAGGCTTATGGGTCTGTAGTTTTGGGGGAACCTTGGGTCTTTCCCAGGTTTAGGAATGTTGATCACCTCGGCTACTTTCCAGTGATCTGGAAAGTACCGGTGTCTCAGTATGGCGTTGACGATGTTGGTAATTGCCATTATCGCTTTCCTCGGGAGTCTCTTCAGGACTCTGTTCCCAATATCGTCTACACCCGGTGCCTTCTTCACCTTGAGTCTTTCGATGTTTCCCTTACCTCGCTGGCCGAGAGGGCATGTCTTCGATGGCTCTTCCTCCTCTGACAGCTCTCCTCGATCTTCTCATCACCTCGTCGATGAAGTCTTCGTCTTCATCGGGTGGTGAGTATTGAGAGTACACTGTCTCTGAAGGTTGTCAGCAAAAGCTTCCGCCTTCTCTTCGGTTGTGTACACCATCCCCTGTTCGCTGTGTATTGGGGGGATGGGCTGTCTTCTATTTCTGAGGATTTTAGCCAAGTTCCACATTCCTGGGTCAGCTGGAGATAGTTCGTCGAGTTTCTTATCCCAGGTGCTCTGATGGTGCTGCTTCAAGGCGTCTCGTGCCTGTCTCATAAGTCTGTTTTGCCACCATGATGTCAGTGGGGCTTCTGGTCTCCTGGGCTACTCTTCGGGCTCTGTTTCTTTCGGTGATCTTGCGATTTACCTCGTCAGGTAGGTCCCTGAACCTGTTTGGTTGCGTTATGTCTTCCACGGTGGTTGCGGCTTCTAACGCAGCCTTAATCTTCCTTTCTAGGTCCGTGACCGCTTCTTCTATGCTTTCGGGGCTTTCGATCTGTAGTAGTGGTCCTTGTGAATAGTGCAGTCTGGTTCTAAACCGCTGCCAATTCACTCTCTTCACTGTTCTTTGTTCCACAGGTGTTATCCCATCTCCCGTACAGAGAAAGATGGGGTTGTGGTCTGAGCTTCCCTCTTGCATGGCGCCGATGGTGGTGCGCATGTCGATTTCCTTCAGAATCGCCATATCTATGACGTCTGGTCTACCTCCGTTGCTGGGGTATATTGTAGGTTCGTCCGGACCTATCATGGTATATCCAGGTTCATCCATTAGTCTTTCCAACAGCCAGCGCCGTGACTGTTTCTGTTTCTTGAGCCCCAAATGGTGGACTTCGCGTTTAGATCACCTACGATCACGGTACTGTTTCCCAGTGCAGTGATACAGGTGACATCTTCCAGATATTACGGACTTCTTCTATACATATATATATTATATATATATATATATATATATATATATATATATATAGATAGATAGAGAGAGAGAAGAGAGAGAGAGAGAGCGAGAGAGAGAGAGAGAGAGATAGATGAAAAGATTAAAATAACGACCACAGCTAATTATCATTTTGCATTTTATCATAACATAGTGGTTCTGAAAAGAACCGTTTTTTTTTTGTTCTTATTTTTCGAACCGTATAACCGTCGAAGCGAATACAACGTCTATATTATTTTGAACTGGTGTACTTGGTGACGGCTTTGGTACCTTCGCTGACTGCGTGCTTGGCCAATTCTCCCGGTAGCAATAGTCGTACGGCTGTCTGAATTTCTCTGCTAGTTATCGTGGCACGTTTGTTGTAATGTGCCAATCTGGAAGCTTCCGCAGCGATACGTTCGAAAATATCGTTGACGAAGCTGTTCATGATGCTCATCGCTTTGCTGGATATACCCGTATCGGGATGTACCTGCTTCAGTACTTTGTAGATGTAAATTGCGTAACTTTCCTTCCTCCTGCGCTTCTTTTTCTTGTCAGATTTTGAGATTCTTCTGCGCCTTGCCCGCTTTTTGGCAGCCTTACCGCTAGTTTTGGGTGGCATTTTATTGTGAGATGATGCTGAGTATAATCGACACCAACGCTCGACTAACGGAACGACTGCAATTCTCTGGCCGTATTTAAGACAGGTGACGTTACGACCGTAGACTCCGCCCCCAGGCGTTTGCCGGCAAACGTTCGCGTCGATTGGTCGGTTAGTTCATATAAATACAACGTTCGCGGAGATCATGTTGTGCATTTGCAAGTTCATAGTCGACGTCGTTCGTTTAGCAGATTAACAAATTGAATATGTCAGGACGCGGAAAAGGCGGTAAAGTTAAGGGAAAGGCAAAGTCCCGATCCAGCAGGGCCGGCCTACAATTTCCCGTCGGTCGTATCCACAGGTTATTGCGAAAAGGGAATTATGCTGAACGCGTCGGTGCCGGAGCTCCCGTATATCTAGCGGCCGTTATGGAATACTTGGCCGCTGAAGTTTTGGAATTGGCAGGCAACGCTGCTCGCGACAATAAAAAGACCCGTATTATTCCACGTCATCTGCAATTGGCCATCAGAAACGACGAAGAATTGAACAAATTGCTTTCAGGCGTCACAATTGCCCAAGGAGGAGTTCTCCCTAATATCCAAGCTGTTCTTTTGCCGAAAAAGACGGAGAAGAAAGCCTAAAAAAAAAAAAATCTTCTGAACATACAATCGGCCCTTCTCAGGGCCAACAAGTAATTTAATAAGAAAATGAAGGGATTATCATTTGTATATGGAAAAATTTTCTCAGGGTGATATCGGATCGGTTGTGGCGCGAGAAGTTGGCAATAACTAAATTATTTAATCGAGGCATCTCATCGTCGCATTCACGTCTAATATTCGCCGGTATCTCGATAATGGGACATATCGGGACCGAAATCGTCGATTATTGTAATTCAAAGAGCCAAAACGTATAAGTCGATCAATTTCTCATATTCCGATAAACTCATTTATGTGAGTGTTTTTTTTATTTTGTATAAAAAAAAATAGAAAATTAATGTGGCGGTTCAATCGGCAGATCCATTCTTTCTCACGAGAGTATATGGTGGTTCTGAAAAGAACCGTTTTTTTTTTCTTTGTATTGTATTTTCGTTCAACCTGTACCGTGGTAATTGCTGCGGAGTGTTTAACCACCGAATCCGTACAAAGTGCGTCCTTGTCTCTTTAATGCATATACGACGTCCATTGCAGTGACTGTCTTCCTTTTAGCGTGCTCGGTGTAAGTGACTGCATCCCTGATTACGTTCTCTAAAAAGACTTTGAGCATCCTCGAGTTTCTTCGTAAATCAATCCGGATATACGTTTTACTCCTCCACGTCGCGCCAATCTTCTTATGGCCGGTTTCGTAATTCCCTGGATGTTATCCCTCAAAACTTTACGATGCCTTTTCGCTCCTCCTTTTCCCAATCCTTTACCACCTTTACCGCGTCCAGTCATTTTTCAAGATTCTCTCGCACGTCGAACTGTTAAAGCGAACGGGCTTGTTGCCAACTGACGGTACGTCTCTCGTGACGCCCGGTTTTGTTAGCGTTGTCGTCCCTCCTATTGGTCTATCAATTGGCCAATCAGACTGTTTCGTATTTCGAGCCCATATAAATATAACTGTTCGCGGTGTTTACCTCCGCTCATAATATTGTCCGTTGCAATATTCACGTCGCTGCTATATAGATAATTTATATTTCAGTTATCTGAAATTTAACGTAATGGCGCGTACCAAGCAGACGGCTCGTAAATCCACCGGAGGTAAAGCTCCCAGGAAGCAATTAGCCACGAAGGCTGCCCGTAAAAAGTGCTCCTGTACTGGCGGAGTTAAGAAACCTCACCGTTATCGTCCGGGAACTGTGGCTCTCAGAG